ACATTATTTCAGTGTCAGACTTTATTCACATACTACGAGGGGAGTCAGAGAAGATGCTGGATAGAGACCCCTGAGGAAATGTTAGGAAGTTTGGAGCATGAGTGAAAGGATCAGTCCTAGATGAAAGAAAGGGCACCTGTTCTAAGGACACAGGCAGTGCTTTCTTTTTATGGCCGTATGAAGTAGAAAGCAAGGTAGAAGGGCTGGGATGGGGGAAACTGAAGAATGCAGACACATTTGACTGCGACAGTGTTCCCCAAAGTGTCTGAGGAACACTGACTCCACAAGATGAGTTTAAGAAAAAAGTGTGGCGTGATCCTGGTGTCCTGGGATTGAGACCCACATCAGGCTCCCTGCATGGAGCCTGCTTCTCCCTCTGCCTGTGTTTCTGCCTCTCTCTCTGTGTGTCTCTCATGAATAAATAAATAAAATCTTAAAAAAAAAAGTGTTAAAAATTATGGTAAATTCTGCTTGTCAAATCCTGGTTTGAGAGAATTACAACACATCAACATATTCAAAACTCTGGAAAAGACAAAGTCGTTTAACTTGGCATTTCCCAAACTTTCTCAACAGTAGAACCTTTTACTTTGTGTAAAAGCAGTTAATATACTGCTGAACCAGTCATCTGTGAAATATACGTTGGGAAAATTTGAAGAAATGGGCCACAAATGAGTATCTAGCCTGTCTTCACAAAATTAATTTATTTGAAAACAAGATGAAACCAAAAATACACAGAGCAATTTAACATCCATGTATTCCTCAGAATTAAAAGGTTAAAATTAAATTGTAACACATTTTTAATGCTTATTTTTCTTTTAAATTTTTATTTATTTATTTATGATAGTCACAGAGACAGAGAGAGGCAGAGACACAGGCAGAGGAAGAAGCAGGCTCCATGCACCGGGAGCCCGATGTGGGATTCGATCCCAGGTCTCCAGGATCGCGCCCTGGGCCAAAGGCAGGTTAAACCGCTGCGCCATCCAGGGATCCCAATGCTTATTTTTCTATTGTAGAAATAATATACGTTCATGATACAAATTTGGAAAGATAGGAAAAAACTACTCTGTCATTTTAGCACCTTAGTAAAACCACTGTTAATGTTTTAAGGCAGTTACTTTGTTATTTCTATTAGGTTTTCTATGTTTACATCATTATAATAACACTGCATATACAATTTTGTATCATGTTAAGTATTTACATTGTATTGTAAGCACTACTGTTTATCGTCATGGCTGCTTTTTTTAATGGCTGCATAATATTCCAAGTGGATAGTCAACTATTTAGCCATTCTTGGTTTTAGAATTTACATTGTTAGCAACTTTCTTTTTTGACTTTCATACGAAATATTGCAATAATTACATGGGAGCATAAAATTCCTTATTTATGGTTATTTTATTATTTACCAAGTAGAATAATAATAAATTAAAGGTAATGTACAGGGATGCCTGGGTGGCTCAGTGGTTGAGCATCTTCCTTTGGCTCAGGTCATGATCCCAGTGTCCTGGGGTCGAGTCCCACATCGGGGTTCCTGCATGGAGCCTGCTTCTCCGTCTGCCCAAATCTCTGTCTGTCTCTCTCTCTCTCTCTGTGTGTGTCTCTCATGAATAAATAAATAAAATCTTAAAAAAAAAGGTAATGTACATTTTAAAGGGTTTTGAAAAAATACTGCCTATTTGCTTTGAGGGTGGGCAGAGGGAGAGGGGTGTATCAGTAATGTATTAAACTGTCTGTTTGCTTTGTTTCCCTCCAATTTAATTGTTTCATTTTGTTAGCACTAGTTCATTTTTTCCAGCTGGACATTTACAAATCCCAATTTGTCATTTATTGCATTATACATTCCCACTGGTTTTGCAATAATTGCAGACCAGCCTGCTGAACATGCTATATGTTTCTGCATGTAGGGAGCAGATAACATTTTTTCATAAAATGTTAAGATTAGAGTCCAAAGGAAGATAGTAAAGACCATGTAGACATGTATCAACTTATCTATACTCTTTGGATATTGTTTACGGAACTCCAATGGCACCTTTATCAACATTTTGATTTTGACTAATCAAAGATACTTAAATCACCTCACTATAGTATCTCAGTCCACTTTTCTCCATCTTGTTCACAATGATTCAATGGCAAGCTCTGTCAAATGGAGTTTTTTTAATTTTTCTTATTTTTTATTTTTTTAAATTTATGATAGTCACACACAGAGAGAGAGAGAGAGAGAGAGAGAGAGAGAGAGGGAGGCAGAGACACAGGCAGAGGGAGAAGCAGGCTCCATGCACCAGAAGCCCAACGTGGAATTCGATCCCGGGTCTCCAGGATCCCACCCTGGGCCAAAGGCAGGCGCTAAACCACTGCGCTACCCAGGGATCCCAGTTTTTTTTTTTTTTTTTAAAGACTTTTTAAAAATTTATTCATGAAAGAGAAAGAGGCAGAGACACAGGCAGAGGGAGAAGCAGGCTCCACGAAGGGGGCCCAACGTGGGTCTCGATCCCGGGACTCCAGGATCTGGGTCGAAGGCAGGCACTAAACCACAGAGCCACCCAGGGATCCCCTGTCAAATGGAGTATTGAGAGATGATTTATCATCGGCATTTCCCTCATGATTCCCAGGCTGTACTTTACACATTTTTGTGTGTCAGAGCCTAGCACAGACCTTGCTCAATACATAGTACACAGCTTCTCAATAAAGGTTTATTTGAATGATGTGCTTAATTTGGCATGAATTTAATGAACCTCTGTTGTCCACCATAGACACCACTTTCCAAGCCATTAATAAACATATATGGTTCATTTAGGAATGGCAAATGTGTAATGGAAAGGGCACTTAAAAAAAAAAAAGGTTTTATTTATTTGGGAGGAGGAGAAGAGTGAATGGGACAAGCAGACTCTGGGCTGAGCGTGGAGCCTGACATAGGGCTTGATCTCAGGACCCTTAATTGTGACCTGAACGGAAATCAAGAGTTGGTTGCTTAACTGACTGAGCCATCCAGGTGCCCTCAGAGAGCATGTTCTATAATTATAAGTCCCTGTAAGTTGGCTTTGCAACTTACAAATTGGTAATTGTATGTAAATCCAGACCTTATTCAGTTTGTTCATATACAAAACAGTGATAACCCATTTTCTTTACTTTCCTCATTGGGTTCTTGTAAGAATTAAAATGTTTTTCTCTAAAGGGAAATCTGGTCATGTCATTACTTGACTTTTTAGAACCCTGTAATAACTTTCCATTGCTCTCAAGAAAGAGTTAAATCCTTTAACATGCCATACAGAGACTTTTGTGATATGGTCCCTGTTCAATTCTCCACCAACACTATTCTAACAACGAAAGCTCTTTCACTGCAGGGCCTTTTGCACAAGCTGTTTGCTTTGCCTGTAAAGCTATTTTCCGCACCCTTCTATGTTGATTACCATTAGCAGCAATACTACTAATAGTAATGTCTAAAATCTACTGAATTCTTACTAGGCATGGGACACTTTACAGTAGTTTATACTTTATGAAGTAGATACTATTGTATGTTTTACAGATAAGGCACAGAGAAGGGAAGCAACTTACCGAGAGTAACACAGCTATTAAGCCTCAGCTTACAAATTCCCACGATTGCAAAGGAGATCTTCTCAACTTCTGCTATTAAAGCATCAACTTTCTACAGAAAGTCTGACATCTTTAATATCCTCCAATAGCCAATATGATAAGATCAACACTTAAGACACTGCTTTATAACTGCCTGTGTGCTTTATGTCTGGCTCCTCAACCAGCGGAATAAACAATCCATTTGAACTCAGACAAGACTGCATCCAGTTTACTTTTGTTTCTCCAGCTCCTAGCAGTTCCTGCTACACATAATGGGCATTAATGAATATTTGCCGAATAAATAAATATATGAAAGTGTTTTTAAACAAGAGACATAAAACAATGTTATTTTTGAATTCAGTTAAGGAACATCACCAGGCTTACCAGTTTGTGATGTATGAGATCCACTTTTCCCCCTTTCTGCAGTGTAGTACACCTGCTCATATCCATTCTTCTGTCATCTCTTCTGTTTGCCACAATTCTCAAATACTGCCCACACATATTCCCCCTTCACAACTGTGAAACTGCCTTTTGAGAACATCTTTTACAGAGGAGAAAAACTAAAATGTTAAAATTACTTTTCCCTTCCTGCGAGGCTTGAAAATCCCTGAAAAAAAAATTTTTTTTTTTTTTTTAATACAGCACAGCGAAACACGGCGATCTCGCCGAGGGAGGAAAAAAAACAACAACAACAACAACCTATCTTTTAAAAACTGAATTTCAAATCAAGACTAGGCTGATTAGAGAAAAGCAATCTAGCCCATTTATAAATGAAACCTTCTGGCGCTGCCTAGGCAGTGTTGTCCCCAGGTGGCATCTTATTTTTCATAATATTTTACTGAAGCCTTTCAGTAATATAAATAGAGGAAACAGGTGCTGCACCGAGCAGGGGGTTTGTCCAAATCAACCTTTTTTGGCTCAGTTTTTTTGAGAGAAGGCCCAGAAGTGAAGGTAATCAGTCCTGCGGCTCTCATCACCTTCGAGGCGAAGGGAAAAAGAGGAAGGTGGTGAAAAAAGAGGGAGAGGAAGTGTGGCAAACAGATGAAACCATCCCTCAAAGAGAGCAAGAGCGCGGGCTCCTTCCCAAGGCGCGGCCCCTCAAACTGACCGTTTACATTCTGTTAATTTTGCCTTTTCGATTGAAAAACGACGCCTGGTTTTGTAAGTGAGAGGATATACCAAAAAAAAAAAAGAAGAAGAAGAAGAAGAAAGAAAGAAAGAAAGAAAGAAAGAAAGAAAGAAAGAAAGAAAGGCAGGCGCTCGTCTCGTGAGAACTCCGCCACCCGGATCCGCGCCCGCGGAGGCCACCGCCGACGGCCCGCGAACCCGCCGGCCCGCTCGCGGATGCCCCGGGGGCCGGACGCCCGGCGCCGCTTCCCCTCGCGCTCCCGCTACCCACAAGCCACCGCGCCTCGGCGCGCCTGCGCAGCGGCCACGGCCCTCTCAGGAAGAGGAAAATGGAATAAACAAGTCGGAGGAACCAGAGCGCGAGCGAGCGAGTGGAGGCAGAATTTAAAAATAAACCGGCCTCTCCACCCTCCCAGCCCGCCCGCCGCCGCCGTTCCCCCCTCTCTGGCCCGCGCCCTCGAAGGCCCCGTCTGGGCCCGTGCGCCCACCCCGTCGTCCCGCGCGGCCCCTTTAAGAAAAGAGAAGGAGAGAGTGAGTGAGAGAGAATCCCAACTCTCCCCCTCCCCTCCCCTCCCTCCTACCCCCTCCTCCCTCCCCTCTCCCCTCCCCCCCTCTCCCCGGGCGGCTCCGGCTCCCGCAGCGGGACAGACCCACCCGCCCAGGCTTTTATCCGGCACCGGCAGCGTCCTCCTTCCCTCCCCGGTCTATGGTGGCGGCGGCGGCGGCGGCGGCGGCGGCGGCGGCGGCTCCTCCTCGGGCGGCAGCGGAAGACGAGGCTGCGGCGTTGCCATGAACAGTGGCGGCGGCCTCCCGCCCCCCTCGGCCGCCGCCTCCCCTTCCTCCTCCTCGCTGGCGGCGGCAGTGGCGGTGGTGGCCCCGCCGGGGGTCGGGGGTGTCCCCGGCGGGGCGGCGGCGGGAGTGAAGCTCAAGTACTGCCGCTACTACGCTAAGGATAAGACTTGCTTCTACGGGGAGGAGTGTCAGTTCCTGCATGAGGACCCGGCCGCCGGAGCTGCCCCGGGCCTCGGCCTCCATAGCAACAGCGTCCCCCTGGCTCTGGCGGGCGCGCCCGTGGCCGCCTTTCCGCCCGGAGCGGTACCGGGCGGGGGAGCCGGGCCGCCCCCGGGGCCCAAGAAGCCGGACCTGGGGGGTCCGGGTGCAGGAGCCACAGCCGGCGCAGGAGGCAGCAGCGGGGTTCTCGACGGACCGCGGCTGGCAAGTGAGTTTGGTCCGGGCTGGGAGGGCTGCCCGGGCCTTGGGGCGGCGGCGGAGGGAAGGCCTGCGGCCGGAGGGGGCCCGGATGAGGCCCTGCAACGGGCTTTGCCCGCGGGTCCCCCCCCTCCCCCTTCACCTCCCTGGGCGATCTGGGAGGCCTAGGCCGGGCCTGAGCCCTCCTTCCGTCTTCCTGCTTCCCCTCCCCACGGCCCTCGGCGAGCCGGGGAGTAAGGGGAGGCTGGGTTCCCCGGAACGTGGGTGGCTGGTCTGGGGTGCTGGGAGTGGGGGCGGGGAGGAAGGGGGATGGGCTGCGGCGTGCGGTGTGTGGGAAAGGGGGTGTCGTTTCCGGGGGGTGTGGAAAGGGGCTGGGTTTGCAGGCACATGGGTTTTGCGTGCCCGTGTGGAGTGGTATCTGCCGAGTGCTGAGGTTCCCCAGTGGGTGTGTGTGGGTAGGGGGCGGGAGGTGATGGGCGGGCTTAAGGCTTCCCGGAGTAGGTTGAAAGAACGGAAAAAGTTTGTGTAAGGCTTCTGGGAGAAAGATTTTTCCAGGCAGGAAATGCTTTCTAAGGATTAGGCGTGAAGGGACAGTGGCTTTTATGTCGTGCTTAGGTTTAGTCGAGAGAGTTTAGAGGAGGCATTTCTCAAGACTTGCATTTCAGCGTAGTTTTCCTGAAGCCAAGATAAAGTTTGCTGGGTGTCGGCAGGGATCCTGTGCTCTGCAACTTTGTATCAAGCCAGCTCTTAGCGCCGAGCCTTGAGAAAGAGTCCTGTGCAGCGTCCGCTCGTGTGCGACTGAGCACTTGGTTCGAGTATCTTAGGGCGGTTGGTGTTTTTTACTTTTTCACTTGTCGTTATCAATAATATTGTCTTGCAACTTTTTAGTTGTGAGTAGAGCTTACGATTATTAGTGTAAATGCAATCTATCTTGCAGAATGTTGCTCTTAAGCAAGAAGGAGAGCAGGTGTCAGATTTTTGTTTTTTGCTTCTCAGTGTGTATTGACTGGTTCTAAACCGAAAGGGGAAGTCTTTCTTGGGCATTCTAAACAGTTTTTTAGGTCTTAAAATGATTTGATAGGCAACTTAACTTGGACATCAATACATTTTTGTCAGTTGTTTTTTTTTTTTTTTAGCAATTATTTGCTCTATGAGGATTATTAAGTGTTTTCCCAGAGATTTACTTTTTAAAGAAGATTGCTGTGATGGACTTGACTTTCATGCAGATGTATTTGTCCAGATTGATGTTCTCAGAAGATTAATTTGTAACTTGAAGTGTTTTGTAAAGAATGGTTACTTTATTGTTGGAAATTTATCACTTTGGACTAGCAACTTTGCATTTTCAAGGTAAACTTTTTGCTGGTTGTGTGAGCTGTGGCTCAAAGTAATTTGATCAATGTTTGAATAGTACAGGGACCTTGAAGGGTAGTTTTGTTACATACAGAAAGGCATTTTAAAAAATGCTGGCATCCGATTTAATGTGGTATCTTTCTAGCATTTTCTAATACGAAGAGGTAGTAGATTTGGGACATGAAACATAAGGCAGGGTGACAGGATATTGCAAACAGGTGAAGATGGCAGATGGAGGAAAGATACTGGCAATGGCTCAAAGGTGAGGATCATTCCATACCTCAGAAAAGGAAAGTAATTGGGATAATAGGGTTTTGAGAGAATAGGTGGTTATTGCAAAAGAAAGCATTTAAAAATCTTATAGTCATTTAACAGATATTTGATTAAATAACTGAGTTATGTATGTAGGTTCTCTAGGGCTTGCTTTAACTTGCCTTGGTGAAGCCTGAGGCTCCTCTTTTCTGCTGTGGACTTCTTGGTAACTGAGTAGTATGTAAGTTCTGACTCCTTTTAGATGGGAGCAAATGGCTTCCTATCAGTGAGTGGCAAGTAAAGTAGCTCAGGAATCAGGAAAGAGGTTTGTGTTGGTGATTTAATGGCTGCTTTGGAGTTTTACACTTAAATTTAAATTTTTAGATTGCTTTTTACTGTTTACTGGGTTCTTTGCTGTATCTTTGAAAACAGCCTTGACCAAGGACCTGCCTCTGGACCCTTGCCCCAGCCTGGAGGCCTGGTAAGAGAGCAGGGCCTGAGAGTACAGCTGAAAGAGACCCCATGAGGATGGAGGTGGCCCTCAGGCACCCTGGCCCTCCCTATCCAGCACTGGGCACCCAGTCAGCGCTCAATAAATGCTTACGAATGAAAAAAAAAAAAAAAAGAAAGAAAAGAAAACAGCCTTGATTTGTTAAGTGCATGAGGCAATTAAACTAAACACATCCTAAGAGGTCATGCTGTCAGGAGAAACTTAAATTTTGTTAGTTGCTGACGATCATCTAGCATCACAGCTTTATTTTGCTTTTATTTTTTTTTTCTTTGCTATTCTTTAAAGGTAAGATTGTACAGTGTTTCCTTAGTCAAGAGGTCATAAACGAATCTGCTCTGATAAGTTAAATCTGCCTGCAGAAATATTTTTGTTTGGGCTCCGTGTAATCTTCTGTGTGTGGGTACGTGTGTGTGTATTAAAAGCTTTTACTGAGGTATACATACCCAAGGAAAAGCGTATAAAATCATAAGTTTTTGGAATTTCCACAAGATGAACACATAACTTATAATCAGTACTGTGATCAAGAAATAGGACATAATCTGTACCCCCCAGAAGTCCTGCTCTTGTTCCTCTTCATCAGTATCCTTTCCCATATGTAATTTTAAATAAAAAGATTTTATTTATTCATGAGAGAGAGAGAGAGAGAGAGAGAGAGAGAGAGAGAGAGAGGTGCAGAGATACAGGCAGAGGGAGAAGCAGACTCCATGCAGGGAATCTGATGTGGGACTCGATCCCGGTACTCCAAGATCATGCCCTGGGCAGAAGGCAGGCGCCAAACCGCTGAGCCACCCAGGGATGCCCCCCATATGTAATTTCTGATTTCTAACCCTACATTCTGACACTGTTGATTCATTTTTCACTTTTTTTGTTCTTTCTTTGAACTTTATAGGAATGGGCTGCTTTCTTTCAGCATTTTGTGAGATCCATTCACTGTGATGTAGAAACAGCTTCTGTAGTCTCATTCTTGTATATTGTTACATTGTATGAATATACCGCATTTTATTTTCTCATTTTACTGCTGGCTAGCCGTGGAATGTTTCTAATTTTTGCCTGTTAAAAACAGTTTTGAACATTCTTGAACATAGTTTTTAATGAATAAGTATGTCTGTGCATTTTTGTTGGATCACCTTTGAGTTGAGTTACTGGGTCACACTAGGGTATGCCTGTGTTCAGATTTAGTAGATGATTTCTGAAGTGGTTGTACCATATTTACATTACATGTGGCAGTGTGTGAGAGTTCTAGTAGCTCTACATTCTCACCAATACTTGGTATCAGCTGTCTTATAATTTTAGCCATTTCAGTGGCTTAAATTTATAGTATGATTTTTTGTTGTATGTGTGTGGATTGTAGTTAGTTAACGACATTTAAAAAATCAAAACATACATGGCATTTTTAGGCATTTGAGTTTTTGACCCTTGGTTTAGTACTTCACATTTGCAGAATTGCTTTGTTAGTCTTTCAGATTGAGTTAAAACTTACAAGGTAAATGCAAGAGAAAATTTTATCCTTATTTTGCAAGCACTGGAAAGCTGAAGCACAACAGCTTTTTCTTCTTAATATACTTAGTTGCAGTGATGTTTCAGTCTTTTTTTTTTTTAATTTATTTATTTATGATAGAGGGGGGGGGGGCAGAGACACAGGCAGAGAGAGAAGCAGGCTCCATGCACCGGGAGCCCGATGTGGGATTCGATGTGGGATTCGATGTGGGATTCGATCCCGGGTCTCCAGGATCGCGCCCTGGGCCAAAGGCAGGCGCCAAACCGCTGCGCCACCCAGGGATCCCTGATGTTTCAGTCTTGCGAAAGAACCGTATTTTAATTTGTTGCTTACCGTTCATGTGTAGAGTTACATTTTCTTAGTTCAGCTCCCCTGCTCACCTGGCAATGTAGTAGTAAATGTGTTCTGGCATTCAGGATTGTTGTTTGGGAAATAACAGTTTATTTTTTAAAAGAAGTATTTAAGTTTATCTTTGTTTTTGATTTTAAGAGAGAGAGCCCTTGGGAGCGGGAGCGGGGATTGGGGGTGGGGGGGCAGAGGGAGAAGGAGAGAGAATCTTAAGACCTAGCCGTGGCAGGGCTCCATCTCACAACCTGGAGACCATGACCTTAGCCAAAATCAAAAGTCAGAAACTTAACCAACTGAGCCACCCAGGTGCTCTTGAAAAATATTTAAGTTTTTGACATTTCATATTTCTTTTGGACTTGGGATCTCTGAGGCTTAAATGTGATTTGATTTGGGTTCAATTGAGTTACTATTTTTGACATTTTAATAATGTAATTCTAATATTCAGCTAACTAGACTTTTAATCTTCAAAGTCCTCGAATTTTAGCAGCTAAGCTATTTATATGCCAGTGTTTATATTTTATGTACATTACCTTATTTGAAATCCAGTGGATTTATTTATTTTACCAAAAACAGATGTATTTTTCAGTTCAATTAGTTTAGTTAGTGGTGAAGGCTTTGATGTAAGACACATCTATGATGAAATCCTGGCTTTCTTACTAGTTTGGGATCTTGGGCAAATTTTAAAATTTTAAGCCTTAGTTTTTCTTATTTTAAAAACGAAGACAACACTAGCACTTACTTCAGAGTTATGATGGGATTGCACGTGACACTATCAGTGCATTGCTTGGCCCATAGTGAGGTTTTTAGTTTTTAGTAATAACTGTTATTAGTAATAAGTCTGTAAGTTGTGTATTATCTTTTCTTCTCCAATTTTTGAGAATATACTTTTAAGACCAGTGAAATACCTAAAGATGATTGAACTGTGGTTGTCTGTCCAAATTGGAAGAGAACAGTGGATAAATTAAAGTTCATTTACTTTGGATTATATAATGTGTGTGGCAAACTGTATTTAAGTCAGGATTGCACTTAACCTGTATCAGCTAACAGGCAA